GAGCTTCACAGAGAGGAGGAGGAACATCAAAGTCACAAAAAGTGGAGATTGGAACAGAATAATGATTCACAGATGTGAAAGAGACGGATGGGCACAAAGGCAGAGAAAAGGTAAGATGAGTACTGTGAAGTAGTCGAATAGAACCTACGGTGGGGTGATGGTAGTTCGAAGTGAGAAGTCAACTGCCAGTTAATAGACTTTTTCGCCGTATGAGTATACGTTGCCCAGGTTGCACCACGTGGAGGTAAGTCTATCGCACGCCCCACATTCTGAGTTGTAAGGTTTGCACTATGATTTTCGACGAGATAAAAGTTTTTGCTAACATGCACGCAAAATAGGGTGGTAAGAAGAATGTGACAGAAAGGGCCTAACAGCATTCATCAAATTCCTGGGAATGGAATTTCTAGAAGCTATTTCTGGATTAATAATTACCCAATATTTACTCTTCGATTTGAATACAAATCCTATATAACTTTATTATAGATTTGACTGCACGGACCCCCCCCCCCCCCCTTTAGGTTCATATAGAGACGGTGTTTATTCATAAATTAGTTTTATCACAGTCTTGACAACAACGGTATCATAATTCTCCTCTTGCTGCTTCTAGATGGTAGTATCAACCACCTCTGGCCTTTGGTTAAATGTCACTGCAAATATTCCACAGATGCAGTTCTCCCCCCTCCCCCCCCCCGCCCCCCTCCAAATGGCATTCTTTTTCTTACGTAAGGGAAGATGGTATTGAGGCGAAAGAGGTGCTTTTTAAATCCCGTTATTTTCACTGAAAGGCATTTTTGGCAAAATAATATGCACACGTATTTTGCACATGATCACCTAGCTGCTGATATGTTTCTCTCTATTGATTTGAAGGTATCGATTCATGGTACATTGGGTTAAAAAAAATAACTTTTGTGCTTTCTTAACACGAAGTACTTGAGTGCTCACTGGTTTTAGTAACTTTGGCTCGAAGACTGCCTGATGGGTGATTGCAATAAACGCATGATTCAATTATTAACTGTTTCAGGGCATTTGATTTTAGATAGACCGGACATCGATAGTTTGTAGGTTTTAGTAGCCATATCTCTTCCGTCTTTATGACCACATGTAGCTTGTATGGATTGAAAGCCAACATTTGGCTCAGATCGACTAATCTAACTCAACTGGACAAACGTCATTGGTCATGATTTCATGGTTATTGATATTTCCTATGAAAATCCAAAATGTTTTTGCACGCCTTAATAATAGGAAAGCATTTAATCAAAGGCAATAATAAATAGGCCTCCATATGGTAGGAAATGTGGGGTGGGGATGAGGGGGGGGGGGTTAAGTGGGGACTGTGGTGAGAGGATCAGTGGCCTTTGTTTGTTGCACGCTTTCTTAATCGGTAAAATTCATCTTTACTTTCCCCGTTGTCCGATTGGATTTGCAACGATTATTAGTAATGCGGAATACAGAGTAGTTGAACCTTACTTCAGGTAATAAAATTAAATTATTGAGTCTGATTTTTAGGTGCGGAATCCTAATTATTTAGACCTGAGCTGAAACGGTTATCTAGGCTTTGAGAAAAGCTTTTTTTATATCGAAATAAGGCCTTACTACATCAGTTAAAGTAGATGAGCATTTGTAGCTCTTGCCTGCAAAGAGGTGAATATTTTGACTCGAATTCTTCGTGATTCCTATTTCAGGTTATCTGAATGTAGAGCAAAGGTACATATTAGAGGAAATGGAGGTGTATGTTTGTGGGAATTTTACGGATTATCGGCTTCAAAAAATGAAATACATCAAAAGAATGAACGCGAGTTGAGACAGTTTTTCCCCACAAGACCAGTCCCAGAATGTGCTGCTGCTGATGATGATGGTGCATATAGTAAACACAATGTCTTCCTGAATCTGGGAAGATAAATGTTTTCCCAAAATAAGCCCATTATCGGGAGTCGCAAAGCTGATTAGTCTTGAATGTCGAGTGGAAACTGTCCATTTTGGCCAATATCTGTTGTGCTTCCAACATCTTTAGAGCCGAATTCAGTAACTGAGTCACCCGTAATCAGACAAGCACCTGTTTATGCATGCACTTATATAAAAAGCCCATTTTGGAAGTAAATTTTCTTATCACGCCTATGGACTTTTACCTCGGTGACCTGATTGCGGGGACCCGCGGTTATAAACATTAAGAGATTGGTGGTTGATGATAAAGCTAACTGAGAATTTGGAATAAAATGGAAGCTATCTTTTCATTTACGCTGTGGTTGTCTTCTGGTGTTTTCTGTCTTTTCAACTCTTTACTTTTTACGTCTTTTTTCTTCAGCAGGGCGTTGAATTTTTCTTGGATATTGTATATGCGTGCAGTTATTTATCTTTCCCCTAAAGGTGAAATATGGCTTTAGTTCAGTTATGATCTTGAATCTGGTTCTGATTACTTCTAATTCCGCTTTGCAATTTGAAATTCGTTAAAGTATTTTGGTTGTTTAAGTGGAAGGTGTTCAGGAAACTAAATGATCGAGGAAAGTTTTGTGCAACAAAAGCAGCCAATTTTCTACTCTTTTGGATGAGTTAAATACGCCTAATATTTGTATTATTTTATTTAAGAAGTCAGTTAAATGCCTTTTTATTTTCTTGTTTTTTTGTATTGTGTTAGTTATTCTCTTCTTGACTTCTCTGAATTGTGAGCATATTTCGGCTGTTCTGACTATATTCCACCTGCCTTAAAAGCAATGCAATGGTTGGTTGCTTTTTCAAGGCTATTAATTACGGCCCAATTGTGTTGTGGACTGATGACGCAAACAAAATGCGCATTTTTTAGTGATTACATTTCAGTCGAAATAGCTTTGAGATATTGCAGCACTGCGTTCAACCACATATGTGCTACTGAATATATTTAATAATTAATGTAAGCTTTACTATCAGAATTGTTGTGGATTTTCAATTAAAGCATTCCTTTGATACAAGTACCATTGTTCTTCGTTTCTCATTTATTTTGTATGGTTGCCTGACTATTGTCAGAAGCCAACTGCTTTTACTCTTGCAGAGAATGAAGTTATCAGCGGCCACATAGATCCTTTTTTAAAGAAGTCTCGTCGTGAACAACCTGGGTGACAAAGGCCCGACTGAATGGATTAATCTGATAGGATCAAGTGACCTATCTTAGCCTATATCATCTAACCAACGAGATGTCATGCTGATGGAACTGGGGGTAACCCCTTATTCTAAACTCATGCACAAGAAGTAACTGTTGTTGGCATTAGTAATAAGCAGACTGTCATTTATTAAAATCGATATTTGATGAACTCATTTCTGTATCGCCTTCAGAAAGAAGCACTAACTAAAGTTAGACCCTTAAATACTTCTTTTAAGAACAAAAGACTAGCTTTGACTCTCCAGAATTCTCAACTTCTGTGAGTGTGTGTGTGTGTAAAATATGTATAAGAAACTTCAAATTCATCTAAGGCGATTTTTTCGAACATGAATATTAACTGCGGAAATCGTTGAGGTCCAAACTGGCAGATAAGAAGGCTAATTTTGCTCATTCTGAAAGTCACGGATAAAATAGATTTTGCCAAACAAAACTTCAGTTTTTGCCATTCCTTTGATAATCGCGCCATGTATTGAAATCAATTTTAAAAAGTTCAAATATATTTTGTCCTTTATTTGATATTGACGACAAGTGTCCCTTTTTCAAAATTTCTGGCCGTACATGAGTAAAATAATATGGATATATATGCTTTGTCCTTCGCAGAGTTTAGATCTTCATGGCTAACTAAGGTCTCAATTAACTTAGACTCCTTGCAACAACTGGCATGACAAGAACTTTTCTCTCAGTTAGTTCCGACTAATTCTCTTAAAACGCTCCCCCAATTTGAAGGCAAAAATAACTTTTTTAAGCAACGTTAATGCTTGCGCGAATCCTTTTTTTGAACACTTAGTTTTCATGTTTTTAGTAGTTAGTGTAGCTTTCCACGCTCCGGCATCTCCATAGTGATGTCTACCGCGCTCGCTTCACTTTCGCCTCTCTTTTACGCTCAGTTCCCTAAATTCGGACTCTCAACTGGAGGAATTGCATGATGCACATCTTGTGTCAACGCCTGTAATTCGGTTGCAATTTGAAATGCTATACTCTGAAAAATATTAACCAATAAACGCGTTTGTCCACCCTTCGTCACTCCGATATGTTTACCGTTGTCTTTAGAAAATGGTGGACTCGAAGCTTGGTAGTTTTGGTTAATTTGTTCGAAGTTCCAATTTTCTAATAAATAATTAAATGAGTTAAACTGTTAGAAAATTTAAATATTGATTTTAATGGATATTAGTTTTTGTTTAAAATACTACTTTCATGAAGGTCAGACAAATTTTTGGAGCAACTCTCTACAGAACTAAAAGCTATTGATATTCAGAGAAATGTACAAGTGCGACCGTGTTGTAAAACATAGTTTTTAAAACAAACTGCACTTAAGGTGCATGTGCTAAAAAACAGTGGGAAATTCAATAAGCGACAAATTGTTAAGCGAAATTGACAACGAAACCACTTACTTTATAAAGGTAGATTGTTCATAATGGGTACATGAAGGAAGAATATTTTTAGTATGCCTTTGGATTCAAAGAGCGATGTCGCCCAAAGTTTTAATCTTTCCACGAAAATTCCATTGAAATATTGACAATTTACTCATAAAATTTCGTTCAAAGCATTAATAATTAGGTTAGCAGTGGGTAAGTCGAATAACTGAAATGCTATATGTTGCAGTAAATAATTTTTGAGTAAAAATGAAACGGGTACAGAGCCCAACATGGAGTGGATTTATTGAACTAAGTGGATCAATTAAAGGAATAATTAGAGAGGGAGATTAAATGCGAAATTTGACAAGCTAATAATGTTCATATAAGAAGATAATTTTTACATATTTCAACATTAACTTGGATAATGTTCAGCATTGTCTTTGTCTTTCTTCCATGTAGACTGAGGCCGTTTTTGTCTCAAATCGAGTCGCTGCTAGACGGCTAATGAGTCGCAGTTGCTATGGCGCACCAGGAAGTGGCAACACTGGAGGTGATGTCGAAGATGATGAAATTGACGGTCCTGAAATCGCTCGTCTTATGCGACGTTTCTGGCCTCGGGATCTCAATTTCTTTGGTGGTAGTGGAAACACTAGTGGGGGATCACGATCCCTTCGAAATTCCAAATCCTCTTTGTCATCGACAGCAAATCAACCTGCTTCACTGAATCTTCGCGGTGATGGTGGTATGTTTTTAACATTTTATGAATGACGAATGTTTAACTGAAATAGCTTTATAGAGGCTGCTAAATAGTGTAATATGTTGTTCTTTTCGTTATTTCAGCAGGTCTGTATTGCGGTTTTGTTCAATAAGCAATTTCATGCTTATTTTTAATTAAAAATTAAATAAAATAGATTTTTGAATCAGATACTAAAAGGAGGCGAAAACATTCAGATCTGGACAGTAGTTGTCAGAGTTCCGAAAGAAAACGAATGGTGCTTGACTTTGGTTAGAAAAAAATGTTTTTTTTGCAGTGAAATACGGCAAATTTGTGACTGCCTAGTTTTGGACTACTTGTCTATTGTGTTTTTAAATGTCTTTTGCCATCTGCAATTTTGGAATTATAAAATAGGGGTTAATTTTTCTGGCATTGAGCATCACTGAACTTGCAGTTAAAAGGAAGGTAACTATTGAGTGCTGATGTAGTCATTGTCAGAGTGGACAGTAGTCAAAATACCTACTAATCTTGGTCCAAATCAGCATTTACCCCTTCAACGACATTAAGACCCGTGCGGTTCTCTTTCAAAATAAGCTTCATTGGCACTAGACTCGTACCAGAAGGCGCTATTACAGTTTGAAACGTGTTCAATGCACCTATAGTCTTCGCCTGATACCGCCAAAACTCACCACGTCGGCGACATCAGTCCGCTGTGAGATACGCGTGAGTGCGGTTGGGCGCATTTTTCTACAAAAATAATCCGGGCGTTAAAGGGTTAAAAATGTGGTTTGTCTTCGAAATACTGATGTGGTTGAAAAGCTACGCTCATATAATTTGTGAATTGATAAACTACTTCAACGATACGATGGCATTTCAACTGGACCTAATATCGATGCAGAATAATCTCACTTACATTGTTTGAACAATTTAGTTGAAGTCATTCTTAGTCTCTTCTCTTTTACCATTGGTTTGGTTTTATTCACCTTTAAACGTAGTCTGATTATGATCAGTTTGACAGTAATTAGGAGATACTTTTTATTTGTCTAATTAATTTGAAAAAAAGAAGAATTCTGTCAATTTTGGCATATTACTTTATGTTAACTGGTTATTTTTAGAGAAGGTGTCATTGTAGGCTGCTTAGCATCTGGTTGTGAACGTATTTCCCACCCTCGCAGCACCAGCTTCAAACGATACAATAGCAAAACTTTATGTTCTAAACACACTGCCCTTTCTGCGTTAAAGTTCCATTTCGCACCAATTTAACCAATGGGAATAGAGATTAAATTTTGAAATACTTCTTACTCTTTTTTCAGTCTCTCCCACTTATTGAGTCGAAAATTAAATTATGCAACATTATTGGACATTGTTTTTCTTTCAATTAGTATAAAAAAATAGTTTTTTTTCACCATAATGTTATTTATGTTGATTAATATGAATCACAAGATATTGTGCAGTGCTGGAATTGAATTGGAATATGTTTTCGCGATAACAACGAGGAATTGTGTTTTCCTTCCTCTAATCAAGGATATAGGCGCGTAGGTCGAAAAACTTGTGCTGTAACGCCAATAGCATATAAACTGCCTCAGAAAACCTGAATTTTAAATGTATTTCATCTAACTTAATTTTTTGGGTTCTGTGATTTTAATATTAAAGGGAGTGCATTAGGCTTATGTATGTTTATAAAGTACAACTTTAATCGAATTAGACTTCAATGACTTTCTACTGCGTTGGTATATATATAGTTAGCTTGAATGCGATCAGCCCGTTTAAGCACTAAAAAAGAGGAAATCCACTCCCGACTCTCTAAAATCTTTGCTTTAGGACGTCTTTGTATAGATAATTTCTTATTTTATTATATTATTGCACAAACAAACTAAAACTGTGTTGTCAAATAGCAAAAATTGAACAACTTCTGAGAAAAAATTTCAGAAGCTCGTGTTTTTGCAACAATTGGAATGCTGGCCATTAGCAAACCTTTAAGCCGATGTGCTTTTTGTGTAAAAATTACAACGGTAAGCACAGTAGGTTTCACAATTCCCTTAAGAGAATATGTCGTTTTATTGAAAACAATAGGTCAAAGTTGTTCTTCTGGTTGGGACGGGATATTTTTTCCTTAAAAGTAAAAGTTTTTTGTTTATTTTTCTTTTCATTTCATACGCGCCGTTATGTTTCCTATTATCATTTGTGGCTCCACTTTATCGCAGAAAATATGAAAATCAAATTGTCAATTTCGTTAGCTGTATCTGAGACCATTTTTAAAGCTTTCAATTAAATGCCTCGAAATAGTCCGTAAATTAAATCTCATTATTCAATATTTCTCATGCGGTTGGCATAATTTAACATGTTTGAATACACTAATATTTTGGCCCATCTGAATGGTTTAAAATACTGATGCATGAAATATTATACTTAAAAATTACAAAACAATTATTATTGCCTACAGCAATATATAAAATAATTTCAAATTTTAATTATGGGAAGCAATTGATACCAAATGGCACAAAGTTCTACCAATATTAAAATGTGGAGTATCGAGAACACGCAGACGGCAACGCCAAGGGGTCAGCTGACCTTACTTCATCTGATTTCCGGTCTCGATTTATACCGCATTTACTGAATTAGCAGTTCATATTCCAAAATATGAATTTCATTATACTTTTCCCAAATTTCAACAAAAAATGTCTGCGATGCTCATTGACTAACGTTACCTAATCAAGAAGAGTTGGTTTTGAGACTTTAATTTTTTTTCAAATTGTTGCCACGCCAAAGTATATTATATGCTATTCCACGGCTTACAGCCTAAACATTTATTTATATCAAATGGCAGGGGTTTTGATGGTTATCATTAACCATTTAGTTGACTTCAGGTTTCATAGAGGCTATCATTAGCCCTTTAGTTGACTTCGTGCTTCACAGAGGAACATCAAAGTGACAAAAAGTCGAGAGGGGGGACAGAAAAGTGTTCCAAAGATGTGAACGAGACAAACACAAAGGTAGAGTGAAAAGGTGAGGTGAGTACTGTGAAAGTAATCGAATATGACATACAGTGGGGTGATGGTAGTCTGATGTCAGACTTTTTTGCCGTATGAGTATACGTTGGCCAGGGTGCACCACGTAGAGGTAAGTCTATCGTACACGCCCAAACGGCTTAAATATAGTAGAGCCGTTTGTTAAATATTGACAGTCTCACTAAGAATGTCGGAAGTTCTATGCAGCATGAATTGCAAAATACTTCCCCTATTTCATTATTTCAACAAAAGAGAAATTAACTAATTATGTCAGTTGTAATTGATTCTTCCTTACCATAGTGGCCAACATATTAGCTGAAGCCATGAGATGTTCTTACTGTCTTTTCGGGGCATATTTTGCAATTGGGTTTTATGCCCTGTCGAGTTAATAGCATTTAAGGGGGAGAACCGGAGGGGGAGGGGAGGGGAGGGGGGGGGGTTACGATCCCGTTTTCATACTGCAACAAAAGTTTGCTGCTATGCGATCTATCGACTACTTAACGGAGTGCTCTCATAATTAAAATGCGAATCAAAAGCTTGCAAAAGTTAAAATTTCACTCCAGAACCGGTTATTTAAAACCAAGCACATCATTAGTTAGAAGCAAGGGAACAGAGTACTCTAGTTTGATTGAGACATGTACGAGGTTATGCATAAACTGTGCGGATTGATTAATCCCACAAATACTGTTGTGCTGAAAGAGAACTGGTGATCACTACAATTTATTTACCGGCCGGACAGAATTCGTCTTTAATTGTTTTGACCAAGCTAACACCACCCATTTGTATACTTTATTAAATTATATTAATTTTTCTATTTTAAGCGATTGCTGCCCTTTTTATCACACTGAAAGTGTGAATGTTTGCTATTTTATTACCAATTAGACAGTTGGATAACTTCTTAACATGTTTTCTTTTAATTTGACTATTCAAAAGTTCCAAATGTTTTTAATTAGTAGTCTATTTTGAAAATACCATCTTTAACAAAACAGCAACTTTATTATGGGAGATTTTATCAAAATACTAATTTCATAACTTACCCATGAATTTCCAACGAGGGTCAGTGTTTAATAATACACTCTAAAATTAGTCCATATGTAGTTAAAATAAAATTGAATAGCTACTTAGTAAGAGATCGACATATACATGACTTAATGTTAAAAATAAAATACCTTTTTTTTCACTGAAATTCAAAAATTCCTTGAGATTGATTTGTGTGAAGAGAATTTAGGCAACCGTTTTGTTAGTGGCATAGAAAGTCGATGGATGGGGAACAGAAGAGTGGTTTACAGTTGTAAAAGAGACAGACACAGAGGCAGAGAAAAAGGCAAAATGATTTCTGTGGAAGTGGTAGAATATGGCATACAGTGGGGTGATAGTAGCTTGAAGTGAGAAGTCAACTACCAGTTAATAGACTTTTTAGCCGTATGAGTATACGTTGCCCAGTCTATCGCACACCCCGGTTTTCACAATATCTGCCATTCCCTTTCGGAGAGAGCGAATCACACCTTTTCACAGTTTTCATCCACCTTATCTCTAATAGTAACGCTGACTTTGCTAACTGTCTCTCTTGTCACACTTACTCGATGGTAATTCAAATAACCTGCTCCGACCTTAAGTCAACACAAATTTGCCAAACGGCATCTTTGCGTCTATTTTACTTATCAATGAGACACTCGGGATTCCTCCATAGACTAATGTCTTTTCCACCCACTTTACTGAGTCAGCAATCTCATTTTTTAATGACCGAGTCACGGCTTATCTTGTGAGATCTCGTAGTCACTAACAACGTCGTAAACCCCTTTTCTCATATAAAAATAGCTTATATGCTAAGAGTGAGGAAAAGTGAACTGTTTCTCTTCGTTTTTTTTCATACTTGATCATACTGGCTTGAGTTATTTTTGAGAATTTCTTTAAAATGCCATCTCATTCTCAAAATTGCTGTTCATCCTATTCACTTACTATTTCATTCCACTTTAGATGGAAACAAATCCGCTCCAGACTGCTTTGCTGGGGACTTTGAATCTCCATTGGAACTGGACTGGGATCATGAACCTGGTGAGTAAAGGTTGGATTTCCCCTACTAACAAATGCAATATTTCCCATCCTTTATCTGATTGGCCGGTGGCGTTAACCAATGCGTCGGTCAGATTTGCATTGACGCGAGCGGCTTTATTGCTTTGTTGAGAGCTAAGCCTTGTTGCAAGCTTTTGTAAAATTCAACAATTTAATAGTGGAATTAGAGTTTCTAGCAATTTGACAGATGTGGAGATCGTGATTTACAAACGGATTGGATGGAATAATTTAAAAGATTGTTATTAATTTCAATCACAAATGGAACATTGAATCTATTATTTAATCGCATTTTTTTAAATATTCGTGTTGATACATAAGTTTATATTAAAATGTTAAAAATAAGGCTATATTTGAAGATACAAATATTATTTCTTCTTCTGCCCTTAATAAAACTGTATTTTAATTTAAATGTTATTAGTCAGCTTCCTATTAGTTACTTCGATTGTCCAATAAGCTTATTACCTTCCGCGCGATGCAAGGCAGTTTATCGAGAACACACACGATTGAATCTGAGCAGTTGTGGTGTTTAGGGTGTTTTGACAATTATCTACTAGTTTGTCCTTGAATCTACTTTTTATTTAAACGAATTATCGTGTGCGCATTAGATAGAGCAGTAAAATCGATTTCTTGATTAAAACTTGCCATTATTGTTAAGATTTGCTGTGGCATTATTAAATTGATGAAAATATTTCTCCAATGTTTAGAAAAGTTCATTAGCCCCTGGGCACTAAATTGGAGATGAAAACCATATCCCCCTCCCCTCCCTTCTTCTATGTTGGGAATATTTGCTTTGAAGAAAGTGTGGGAAAGCAGAAAATCAGAGTGTCTTTTCATTCGGTTTTCCCCAGTTAGTTCTTATGCGTATGAAGGGAAGAGTTGGAATGTTCCTTAATATTCGTTGTTTAACTTTTTATATATTTTTTGTGATTCAGGGCATTGAGGTTCAAAGCAGTTATACATTCTTACAAATAGAACATAATTAAACGAATATATTGGCAGCTATTTAAGTAAAATATTAAATGTTTTCCATTTTTAATACTTGGCCTAGATTTGTATAATAAACCTCTTTAGGTGCGTACTTTTATGAATAATTAAAGCAAATTTAGCAAATTTTTTTCCTGCGAGCTTTAAAATGTGGTTTCTATAACCAATGATTTTGAAATTGAATGGATAAATTTTCATCTTTTTTCAATGCACTCTCGTTATGTGGTAAAAATTAATTTCGTTATTTTACTTAACTCACAAGTAGAAAATGAGTATTCTTTTAAAATATGTAAATTTTGATATGAAGGAGACAGTTCGGCCATATCCACTTATATCATAATAGAATTTTTACTGAAATAATATTTCAAAACATGAACTATGATGAAAAAACTTTATGCCAGTAGTAAGCAGTAAAAAGTGACCATTTAGTTATATTCGAGAAATCACAGTTATAAATTCAGCAAAAACGATCTTTTTCTAGGGGACTGCAAATACCTGCACCAGTTTTCTTTCTGTGTAAAGAATGTTTTTCACGTGCTGGAATGAGAAATATTTACTTATTTATTTATATCAAATGGCAAGCATTTTGGTAGTTATCATTAACCCATTTGTTGACTTCAGGCTTCACAGAGGGGAGGAGGAACATCAAAGTGAAAGAAAGTCGAGAGGGGGGTGGACAGAAGAGTGTTTCAAAGATGTAAAAGAGACGGGCAAAAAGGTAGGGAAAATGTGTGGTGAAAACTGTGAAAGTTGTGGAATATGACATACAGTGAGGTAATGATAGTTTGAAGTCAGAAGTCAACTGCCGGTTTATAGACCATTTTGCCGTATGAGTATACGTTGCCCAGGGTGCACCACGTGGAGGTAAGTCTATCGCACACCCCAGGTAAATCCAAATAATAAAACGCCCTATGTGCGCGAGCGTAAGTTGAACTTTAATAATATATGGTGGCGGTTTCGTAATTAATTAGGACATATTTTGTCTTTTTTCGGTTGATTATGGAATTTCTAAAACCACTACTGATTTAATTCAAAGTGACGCTAAAGTGTTAACAGTCACTATCATCAAGCTTTATTGACCTATGGGGGGGGGGGTAGGTGGTTATGGTATTACCATGTGTAAAATGACCTTGCCTGGACAATACCAGTTGCCATTGCACCTTGAGGGTATGAAAATAGCACCAAGTAAGGTTAACAGTCGTCCCTAGCCGAGTTTTATCATAAAACACATACAATTCGATCGTGATGGGATGATCAACCACAGAGCCAAGTCGGTCGATCAATAATAAGTGAAAATCATGTAAATATTCATTTCATTGAATTTGCGCGTCAATTAGTGAATGCGAGCGTTAGGACGCCACGAGGTTTACTTGGCTCTTTATGAGAAAATGAACAAATTGATTCTTACTTAATTTAAACAATGCAAAATCCCAATTGCCTTCTACTTATTGCCTACTTCATAACCCCCCCCCCTTTCACTTCAAACCCCACTGAACTCCTTGGTTGTTCTCTTCCTTTCCACAAATTTTCTCATCATTAAAACCTGAAAAATCTGTTTGCACTACCACATTCAAGGTAACTATTTTCAAAATGTTGCCTTATTCATTCGCCTGCATCATACTTTGTTTCTGTCTTTGAAATAACAAAGGAAATATTATCGGAGATACGGGAATTGCCTCAATGACCCTTTTTATAAAGACGGAAACCGAAGCGTGATGTCATATCGCAAATTTTGCTATCAATTTAAAAGCAATATTTTGCTCATAATTTATTTTTTGTGGTTGTATTTTCAGTGCTATTTAGTTTAAATTATAAGTACACTAATTAAGTCTCTTATTCACATCCTATGATTCGTAATAATTACAGGAGCTTACGCCGGCCCCCAACGACATTCATCATTCCGAGGTCGAGGAAGCGTCAAATCCTGGTATACATCTCCCTTCGAGGACTCCCTTCTTGACACTACAACTTCCGTGGCAGCTAACGGTGCTGTTGGCGCATCCCGATCTCGTAACTGTCGTACTCTTCCATTCTCCACTGGAAAAGAATCTGCCTTGATGACCCAATCTGCCTGTTTTTCTGGTCAAATGGTCGATTCAGGCTTTGCCGATCCATGACCGCACTTCCGTATATCGTGATAACCAAATGAAAAGAGTTTTTGATGTTAAATATCTAGAGTTCTTTTTTCTCTCTATATCTATCATGTTCATTTCCAAATTTTCCCACCTGTAAGCGCCACAGGGTGTAAATATTTCGACAAACCCTCCATAACCCACAAGAGCGAACTCAAATTCACCATGTTTATGATGATGTATTCTCATTTTATTCCTCGGATAGTTTTATTTGCCTTTGTTGTTTTCTCTTCTTTCCATCCATCTCTTGTGATCTTATTTCGCTTAAAAAATAAAGTGCATTTACGGTCTTCTGCGAGATTTTCCCATGTATTTTAACGTTTATAGCTTGTGCTACGCAATGAATCGGCTTGAAAATACATCTGGTCTATAATTCAATTTAATTAGTAGATACTAAATGTAATTACTCCTTTATTGAAATCAACCTGTTAGAAAGTGTTTCTTTCAGAAAACACGGAATCTAAACACACTTTTAAACAACTTGTGGATTTATTGACTTACTTGGTGACACTCTAAGGAGTCATTATGACTGACATGAAAGCATTATCAGAGTCGTACGAATAAATCTTTAAATCCACCTAAATGGTAAATTTTCAAAAATATGAAATAAATATAAATAAAACAAAATGCGATTATGGGAAACTTTGTGGTGCACTGATTCACGACAGGTGAAGAGAGATACCCGAACGCTTTGCGTAAAGTCATTTAACGCAAACAACAAAAATTTGAATTTTGTTTCCAAGTTGTTTTAAGAAGCAACCACAGTGTGTCTCAGGGAAGGGGATCCAATTTAAAGAAATTTTGATCGAATTAAACAGTCCACATGGCACAGTAGACTGAATTGAAGGATTTGTATGATTTCTGGTGTTCTAATCTCGTCCAAAATTAATTTCCATGTCATGGAGGGGGGGGGGGGAGCAGGAGGTTACGTTTAAGAATTTGGGAGTAAAGTTATGATGTGAGTTTCAATGCACCCGAATTTTGGTTTCGGGTTTCGCAACATTTATTCATAGGGCTAGTGCACTATCCACAATTCTATTCCTTCCCCACTCCCACCCCAGGAATAGAGCAACATTTTGTTCACAATGTCCAGTTTTATATAGAAACTATCGATCTTGCCTATTTAATTCCTTTTACAAAGCAAAAACGCCCTTGAGCAGATATAAAAAATATAGCCTTATGACATTACAAGACAACAAATGAACGATACACAAAACTTTTGCGTGAATTTTAACGTATTAATTAATAATCAAACGCACTTTCGATCCGCATATCTTTGTCCCTCCCAGAATAACGTAGAAAATAGGCTGTCGTTATGGCGTATATTAATTATAGCTTCGCTCAAGCCATGCGCACTATTTAGTTTTTACATTTTTTTACATTGGAAAACCAAGAGTTAATTGTGATGTCAAAAATACTGAGATAAAATATATAAAATTGATGTTATCTAGAGAACAATTAGAAAATAATTATTAGTAATTTAATTTTACGCCTTTATATCTCCTCTTCTTAAGCCACTCCTTCCTCATAAAGCTTCTTTTATGGGTTGAAGTTCTTTTAATGTTTACATATTCCTTATTGGCGGTGTGGCCTTTTTTTAAGGGAAGTATTTTGGTGAATGAGGCAGTTAGTATAATTCCATTGGAGATTTTTCATTGAGTTCCAGATAAACAGCCATACAACTTTCATTTTCTTAGTACGAATTCCTTCCATGTTTTTTGTTGAAACACGAATTTTCCTTTTTTTCTTAGCCCGAGGTTTAACTTAGGTTACCGGAAATGAATGATGGATTTCGATTCCAGGACCTACTTGAGGAGGCTGCTTCTTTTGTTTCTCTTTCTTCTGCTTATTTTAGAACAAGTTCATAGGGATTCTTTCGGGTTTTCTTTCAGTTCGCTCAATGCCCTTCTTTGAGTTACCTATTGGTTCCTCCACCTGACTGAACATTGACTTAAATTTCTGATTGACGCTCTTCTTCTGAATTCCGATTTATTTTAGCACATTTTCATTCGCATCCTCGTCTACTACACGATTTATGAATGCGAGCTTTGTGCGCCAAAAAAATCGAACAAAGTGCGAATCACTACAGAGAGTCACCGTTCAGATTATGAAAATGGGAAGCTTTCGAATAAATAATTCTTACTTGCAATTTTGTTGACTTAATTGTGACAAACTGAATTCCGTTGATTTATGCCACTGCTGCATTTTATGTCCTAATTTATCCATTTACTAATAATATCCTTCAAAGCAAATTCCACCAGTGACAAAAAATGCTTTTAAAAATCAATGACAACAAGGTTTTTTAATCTCACTTCAACACAGAAGACATTAAAAATCTCTCCTCTAAATATTAAAGTGATAATATTTATTTATATCAAATGGCAGGCAAAAATGTTATTATTATTATTATTATATCAAATGGCAGGCGGTTTGATGGTTATCATTAGCCCTTTAGTTGACTTCAGGCTTCACAGAGTGGAAGGAACATCAAAGTAAAAACAATTCGAGAGGGGGTGGGGAGAAGAGTGTTTCAAAGACGATGGTAGAAAAAAGATGAGGTGAGTACTGTGAAAGTAGTCGA